ATAATTGTGGCCAATGACCTCACCCACGTTGCCCCTTTAGGTGGGTCCCACCCAACACGATATTTTCATCGCAATGATATTTTCTCAACTATTTTGTACTACCTATGTGGGAAAAGTCCCAATAACCCCATCTATCTATAGTAAAAAGCTCATTATCTACATCCTCAGTACCTTCTTCATCTGAATGATTCAAAATATTGGCAATCAGAGCTTGTTTAGCTGCCTGTGTGCCTGGCGCTCATGCAGCTACTGCAAGCTCTTGTTGTATTCAATTGATGGATTTCTATGTATCTTCTGCTTTATACTCTGCAATCTGATCTTTAACATTCTTGACAGTCATCATTCCTTCTATATTAATCTATCTTTGTGATCTTTTTTCTTTTTAACATTGATGAGCTGTAAGAAGTTGATTGAGATTCTGCTTATATTGAGTGTTGAGTTTCATCTGTATTAAGCTCCTTGTAAATATATTCTGAAGATGATGACTCAACTTAGAAGAACTGTTATTAAAATAGTTCTCAATATCCTTCAACACATCTTTTACCTTTGTAATATTATGTTGAAGATCATATATATTCTTTAATGAGAATGTCACTGAGAATGATAACTGTAATTCTGCACTCTTATTGTCATCTCAAATCCGTAGATCTAGAACAGCAGGAAGGCAGGCCTCTAATTTGTTAAGAACAAGATCAGAGTTATAAGAAAGGATTCCACAGCTGAAGAAGTTGTGTTTAATAATAACTGATTTGAATGTGTCTTTACAGGTTGTGAGTAGATTATATAGAAATTCTTACTTATCAAATTGTTGAAATCCTTCACAGATTGCTTGATTGACTGCTTTGGCATGGAAGTGCTTATATTGATGAAAGAGTAGATCATTTAAAGATTGTAGAATATGTGTATTGTGAGAAAAGAAGATGTATAATATGATGTTATTTTTGTTGCAATAAGTAATGAATTCACATATTAGATAAGAGTCATAATTATTTACAAGAAGAAGTTTATATTTATCAATCTGTTGTTTTTTTAAATAGTGATCAAAATGAAGTAATCATTGATACTCAATCTCATCATTTGTATAGCCAGTAGAAGAGGTAGTTAGAAGTCAAAAATCAGAAAAATTTGTAAATGTAATTCAATTCTTCAATAAATTCTTACCTCACAAAATCACACAGAATGGAAGAATCTCTTCATCTGTGAATATACACTCTATTACTGTGTTCAATAACTGTGAAAAGAATGAGAATAAAACTGCATTTGCTTTTTTAAAGACTGTAATGATTTGCTCTGTACATCCTTAACCCTCTTGGAATCCAATCTCATTTATATTGTAACAATCTGTGAGTAGAATGCTATATTGCTTCATTGTGATCTTCAATCTGTCAAACCATATCTTTATATCCTCTGCAGACACTCATTTTAAATTCATTGAACATTATGTAATTCACTCATAATCATCAAGACATTTGATGAATCTATAAAGTCAGTTGTGATAAATAGTAAGAGAAGAATTTGCAGAATCTGTATAACACTTTGCAAGGATTGAATTTACATATTTTTGAATCATCTCAATGGTGAAGGGTTGACCAGCCTTATTCAACTGTGCAATCTATACTTTTAAAGCCTCCTCTTGTGTGAAATTCAATAAACAATTGATTGATTCGTTTTTTGTTTGTGAGTTGACTCTTTGAATTCTTCTGTAGGGGGTTTGATAGCTGATTTTATATTCACGCAACAGAGGTTTGATTTTTTAAGTTGTATCATGTTTATAAATGTCTACTGCCTCTAGAATGTGATCTTCAGTGATTTGACAAAATTTAGTCATATTGTGATTGAGATATTAATATTTGAATAATAATAGTATGGAATAATTGAGGAATAATTGAAAAATATCATTGCGATGAAAATATCGTTTGGGTGGGACCCACCCAAAGGGGCAACGTGGGTGAGGTCTTGGCAAAGAATGAAAAAAAAAAAAAAATTTCGACCGACGCAGGACTCGAACCTGCAATCTTCCGCAGACTGGAAATGTCCAGTTGAGAATCTGGTGAACCGGAAACGGATGCGTTAGCCATTACGCCAGCCGGCCGGTAACATTGGAACTTGGAACAAAGGTTTGGCCCCTAGACTCTCAGGAAACCAGCGACGGCTGACCTGCCGTATGTAAGCGGATACTTTGAGATTCAGACCACCAACAGATTGAGATTAGGGTGTGGTGAGTGAAGGTGGAAACATGCGCAAAAAGCGGGGAAAACCTTCGCAATTCTGGCTATCCCCGGATGATCTCAGCAGCCAACGGTAAGTTAGTTAACTTAATGAAAAAGAAGTCTCTTTTTGTTGGGTTGGGGGTGAACAAAGCTAAGAGCTTTGGTGTGGGCAGAATGGATGTTGATGGAAAAATATTTTCTTTTGTTTTTCTGACTTTATTTTCTAACCCGCAAAATTCGCTTCTTCATACCGTATCTGTAAATAGTGGATGTGATTGTTGTTTTGCGGAGTTAGCGAAGCATTCCCTCCATGCACGGAGTTACAGCGCGACGCAAGAAATTAGATTGATAAAATGCGGGGGATCAGCAGCGGGACATCTGTCAACCCCGGAACACGAGCCAACAAAGACAGCAGATCAGATGAAGAATAACTTCGTTGCGGGCAAAAATATATACAGGTGAATGCCAAAGCTAGAGTCGGTCCGGAGCTATGTATCAGTTAAAATAACTACCAAAACTAACAAAAGTTCAGCATCCCCTTTTCTTCTTCTTCTTCTTCTTCTTCTTATCATTTACATTTCGCCAATTTTTTGTCAATCACCCCTCTGACACATGGCAGGGGAATTTTCCTTATTACTTTGGTTTTCTTCCTAGTTTTAAACTTTTGTTTAGGATAGTATGCCCACCACCTGCAAGGTGCATTCCATGTCTAATTCCAAACATCCGGAACCGGGATTGTTATCAGACATAGGTGTGAGGAATATAATAATGCTAACAATAGTGGGGGCATGTAGATGAACGCAGCCAAAAGCACACAACTTTGCGAAGTTTCAAGACACCCCTGGTG